GTAATTCTGTTTGCTTTGAAGAATATTTTATTTTCGTATTCTAAAGCTATTGAAACTATTTTTAATTTATAAAAACTTTTGAAAAACTCTTTTAAAGCATTATGAAGCTTAACCTTCGAAGTTCACTCGCATATGGTAAACAAATAAAAACATTTAAATGAGATTTAAAAACAAAAATACTCAGAATATAAAAATATTTAGTACCAAACAAAAGTAAAAGTTTCCCCAAATAGGTAAGTAAACAAATTGATCCAAAAAATATTAAAGGATTTAGTCCCTATACAAAGATTTGTGAACTTTTAACTTAGTTTTAGGTACTTAAAAAAATATAGAAGAATTAATCTCATAGTAGAAATCTTAGATACTTCATTTTGTAAAGGGTTAAACATAGTTGTTTTTTCAACAATCGAATTGAGGACACAAACAACTATTTCTAACCCAATTTTAAATTATATATAAAACTATGCAAACTTGAAGTTGATATACTAAAACATTGTAATATTGGAATTAACATGGATTGATGTGAATTCTATCCGTATATTAATATGAAATGAAAATAAGTTTAAATATTATCATATCAATGATAGTGTCAAAGTAATTCATTTGCATGGATTCAAAAAAACTCGGTATACAAAGAGTCATTGAATGTGCTTTATTGGTTAAATGAGTAGAGGACTGAAATCCAAACAGAAAGGCAGGTTGACTGATATTGTTATACAATTCATGGATATATTGCTTTATAAACATCCTAATCTTAAGTTTTCTTTTATAAACAAATTCTAGTTTGCTAATCATTTTCTTGGTTTAATATTGAGAGATATACAGGAGCCAGAGTCGCAATATACGTTTTTAAATAATTTTGTTTCTGCGATAATATTTCTCTTTGCTTCTCATATTTTTTTTAGGCTTGTTTAATACAGTTTTGTTATGGTATTCTTTTTTGTTTTGCATTATAATAGAAAAATAATGTAAGTTTCTTTTGTACTCAAAAATATCCTAGTGTTGCTACAAAAATGAATCTAAATATAAAAGTATTTGAAGCAACACATCCTGAACACTATTTTCAGATGTTGATCAAGACGGTTAATATATTTCAATGTTGGATACATAGGTTGTACAAAGAAAATCCACTAAAATGGCAGATTTTATATGGCAAGATTAACATTGCTTCCAAATAACAAATGTCACATGTGTGGTTTAATATAATTATCATTTAAAAGCATATCGCCCAGTAGATGTTGATAGTTTTTTATTTCTCATGATAACAAGGGCTGAGAATTATGACACCACGTCCATGCATTCTTTGAAAATTATTGTGATCAACCCACCTTAGTTCCATAAGCGCGTATCAGTTAAAAGCGCCATTATGTCCCGTGAAAAGATGTTGCTTATTTCCGTTATAAGTAGATAGGTAGTTGATAAGTACCGAAATCTGAGGCTGGCAAGACTATCAGTTACACAGAATGTGTTCTGTTGTTTCCTCTTCTTCGTAGCGAAGTCCGCAGACCCATCCCTTGTAGTACCTAGATTCGATAGATGTTTTTTGACTCCGCTATATTTTGTGAGAAACCCTGTGGCACCCTTCGAATGCCTTTTCTGTTCAATATTAGTAGCTCCCTAGTTTTGGCTTTTAATTGAGTTGGCATGAATTCTTTAATTTGTCTGCAGGCAATTAAAGATCCCAATCAGTCTCAGCTGCTTTTTCTAACCATTCATTAATTTTAAGTTTTAAAAAGGC